TTATTTTCCACTTGTAGTAATTTCTCTTATTTTCCACTTTTAGAAATTTCTCTTATTTTCCACTTTTAGAAATTTCTCTTATTTTCCACTTTTAGAAATTTCTCTTATTTTCCACTTTTAGAAATTTCTCTTATTTTCCACTTGTACAGCGCTTAAAAAACCAGCTTACATCTCAGTCTCTCTGTAACTTTTTATCAAACAAAATTTGGGAGACCTCAGATTTGCTAATTCCTAAAGTGAAAGTTGTTAAGCTTGCAAAGCTTGAGTCAACATGTCCCTTGGCTCAATTCAGATCAGTGTAATGGGAATGAAATAACTTTTCAGAAGACTTATATAAGTTTGACCTAACATCAGTATAGGCCAGTTTTCAACAACTGGTAACGTAAGTCAGTAAGCCATCTGGTTGATGAGGCAGCGGTCTCTGGTCTGACCCCTTAGTTTTTTTCCAAAATTATTTTCTCAACTAAAAATGAAAAAATTATTTACTTACTGTTGCTTGAAGTGCAATGCAACACTCATAGAAATCATCACGTAATGCAATGCAACACTCATAGTAATCATTATGTAGTGCAATGCAGCACTCATAGAATCATTACGTAGTGCAATGCAACACTCATAGTAATCATTACGTAGTGCAATGCAATACTCATAGTAATCATTACGTAGTGCAATGCAGCACTCATAGTAATCATTACGTAGAAGCTTTGGCTCACAAAAAAGAAAAATCCTAATTTTTTTAAATTTTCTTGATTATGCAAATTCTCCTCAAGTAACTGACCCGCCCCGTACATCTCCAGGGCCCAGACATCCTGGAGGACAGTTCCGAGTTGATTTACTCTGGGGAGCTCAACAAAGTGAACCACGCCGGGTGGTCGCAAGAGAGATACTTCTTCCTGTTTGACCACCAGCTCATCTACTGCAAGAAAGATCTCCTGAAGAAGTCCAGCTTCTGCTTCAAGGGGCGTATCATCATGGACGACTGCAAGGTCTTCAATTTACCAGACGGCAGAGGTCAGTTCGGTTTTTCTTTTTTAACTCATTTCTTTCATGTTAACCCTCCTCATTCAAAGACGTTCCTTCAAAACTTGAATCCATTTCAACAAGTCAAGGAACAAATCATCTCTCACTTATGTTTTAATTTATTTTGACAATTGTTTTTTTTTCAATGCATTATAAAACTGTAAAAATAAGACCAACGGTTAACATTGGAATTATTTACTGATACCATTATTTTCAAACATCTTCTCAGATTCCCAATACAATGTGACGGTGAGAAACGCCTGGAAACTCCATGACACTCACAGAGACAAGTGCTACCTCCTGGTGGCCAAGACGTTGGTCATCAAGCAGAGGTGGCTCAAAGCATTCCAAGATGAGAGGAGGAGGGTCAAAGACGATGCTGAAAACAGTGAGCCAGTTTTTTTTTAATAATTTTTTTTAGTCACTGACTGGAAATGTGATCTTAAAATTTTATTTGCTCCAGGTTGTTCTTGCGGTTTCACCAGGACGCTGTTGTTTTTAAGTTTCTGGAATGAACTATTAACCGCAGCAAGGCAGCTGTTCTTGTGGTTTCACCAGGGGGCTGTTGTTTTTAAGTTTCTGGAATGAACTATTGACCCCAGCAAGGCAGATGTTCTTGTGCAGGATGAAAACCCTAAACTCAGAAACCACCAGTTTTGGCTAGGGATGAAAAGTGGATTGACTACATTCTCCCAAAACAATAGCCAAATCTATTAAAAAAATAATTTAAAAACGTTCATTACAATTAATGCATATTTTTATATTTTTTTATTGTAAATATAATATAAAGGTGTGCAGCTCATCTAGAGCTAACACTTTTTGATGTATTTCTTCTGCCTTGTGAATTTTAATGAAACCTTAATGATAGATCAAATTATTATTTTTTTTTTCATTTTGTAATTTTTATTTTTTTAAATAGATTTTAACATTCCGGCCCATGTCAAGCAAGCAGTGATAACCAACTTCAAGCAGAAGACAATCCATAACAAGCCTAAAGGTGGGTAACTCATCTGCATAAAGTTTTATTTGTTTAGCCTTTAACTGGTGATCAGCAGACTTTCAGCGGCAGGTTCTCAATAGCTTCTTTAGATTTCTGTGTTGATATCTTCATTAAATCTTTCACTTTAGTCCATATTGGTTTTAATGCACTGGAAAAAATGTCCTCATTTTGTGGGGAAAGTTTGAAGTTGTTAAAGGATTTTGCCAAAATTTGGAGGGTTTTGTTTTGTCTTTGGTTTTTTTTTTCCCCGGTTTTATTTTTGGTTTTTTCCCCACTGTTTGATTGGCTTCATTGGTTCCTTTTTTAATTTATTTTAAAAACACACAACTTTGAATTTAACTGCTCTATTTCAAAAACAAAAAAAAAAAGCTTTGCTTGTTTACAGTGTTTAATGCGAATGATTTGATGCTGAAATTTGCAGGAATATTGCTGTGGCTGACCCGAAAATCCTAAAAAAAACAAAAAAAACAAGAAGGTGAAGATCATGATACCAGTGCTTTTTTGTTTTGTTACATGTTCTAAAGCATAACTCATCCCTACCCTACTTACACTCTGATATCATGTTTTCACTCTACTCACAATTGATGGTTGTTTGGGGAAACTGGATGACAATCTATTTGTAGGACTGTCTATTTCTACACCTAATGAACTTTGACCTGTCAATGTAACAAAGACCTATAGAGAGAATTTAGACATATTGTTCAGGTCCTACAAATAGATTGTCATCCAGTTTCCCCAAACAACCATCAATTGTGAGTAGAGTGAAAACATGATATCAGAGTGTAAGTAGGGTAGGGATGACAATCTATTAAAAAAAAAAAAAAAAAAAGATTCTAATTTATTCCAAACATTATTACTTTTATTTTTTTTAAATAATGATATGTTAAACGGCAATAATTGTAAATTAATAATCATTTATAATTAACTAAAAGACTATGTTATTGTTCCTGAATAGTCACTTCTCTGAAAGTACTTAAATTATTAATGCACAAGAATACAATTGTGCCAATAAAAGTAGATTTTTTTTTATACATGGACTATAAGAAATAATTGTAAACTAGCTGGTAACAATATTTAATACGGTTTATTCATTTCAGGCTGAAAATTTTTAATCAATGTGTTATTTGATGTTTTAAAATTTTTTTAAAATTATAACCACAAGTCGTTTGATATACACTTCAATAAATACATGCCTTTTGGTGGTATGGCATTGGTCATGCATTTTTGCCCCCTCTTAACAATTTAGCTTGAGGAATTTTAATCTGCCCTTCAGTCTGAGGCCCTGCATCCAAAGGTGTATCTAGGGTGGTGGCGAAGATAATGTGCCCTAAGCACCACCAAAAAGGTTCCTAAATGGGAGCTAGAAGCTATTTTCTCATTACCTCATGTTAGCATAACAAACTGAACTTCATTGCCTGCCTGAGGTTCCATTTTCCTTCCATTTTCCTTACATACTTTTTTTTTTCTTTAAATTTTTGGGAAGTCTCTCTTCAAAGACTGCCCAATCTGGTATCTTGGCCTTGCGGTTCTCTCTTTTGTTCTTACCAATCGTCCCGACCCAAGCTGAAAACTTTTTTTTGGGGGGGTTATGTTTTAAATTAAATGTGTTTCAATTAGTTTTAGTGAATGGCTGAAATTATCTTTCTTGACTTAAAAATTTATATTAGTCTCCCCTTTTCAATCACTGCACTTTTTGTTTTGTTTTTGGGGGTCCCTCCCCATCCCCCATTTTTAAAAAAAAAAAAAAAAAAAAAAAATTCCTACAAACTCAAAAGTCTTAATTCTTTCCACAATTATTGTTCTAATAAGCATGGAGCGTTTCACTTCTGGATAAACCTACTACCATAGCAACAGTAGAGAGATGTAGTCTGAGCGCTGCATGTCATCAACTTAGCATCCCTCCCCTTAGTCCTTACGTGGGGCCCACCCAGGGCTGCTAACAAAAAAATTACTTAAACAAACCTAACCAAATAAACCCAACCATTGTAATATGTCATTATTCCATAAATTGTCTGCCTTGGTCCTCCCAAATATTAACATTATAATTTGGTTTGAAACTAACTCAGGGTGAGCTCACTTTTTTTTTTTTTTCATTAATCTTTATCGGTTTTATACAAAGTGAAATAAATGTTATCAATAATATTTAAAAGTTCATTAAATCAGAATAATAAATTATTTATTCAGGAAAAAAAATTAAATCAGATACTTAACTATATTAATTATAATTATTAAATTGAATTTATGCAATCATAAATAAAATATGTTTTAGTGGTAAAAATAAATATAAAATATTGAAAAAAAAGAGCTTAACATTAGGAAATCAGAATATCTTTAAATTTCCATTGTATTTTTATCATTTAAAAAAAAAAAATTATATATTGACTAAATTGTTTGAATTTCCTGTGTGAATCCAATCCCAATGATTGCTATGAATGAGCTTGTCACTCATACATTTGCCTTGTGATAATGAGATAGTTATTGCCTATGATAATAAGATAGGTATTTCCTATCTTGTGGCTTTAATGGCCTCCAATGTTTAGTTTATTGTTCTTCAGTTGACCTCTGGGTTTGATGTATATATTATATATAATTTTTTTTTTTGGGGGGGGGGGGGGGGGAGTGTTTAAATTTATTTTATTATTTTAAGTCCCAATTTGAATATGTTATTTTCCCTTGGAATACTGATTATAAAATGAAAGTGACAATTTCCCAGCAAAACAGCCAACTAGTTTGGCTATGAAGTAAATCAGCTTTCAGATATTTATGGTAAACTTTTCACTCAAATTCATTTTTCTTTGTCCATAAGAACAAACCTGGCATAAATTCAGGTTCTCTTCTGCAATTCTTGAAATGTCAGAGAGCAAGCTGACCATAATTTGAGACTCTCCTAGAAGGGTTCACTTGCTGATTAGAAACTGTTAACTTTGTAATTGATTAGCAAATGAAAATAAAACAAACTCAATTTTTTTATTTATTTTCCAGGTAAGAGCAAATTCAATCGCACCAACAGCACCTCAGCAACGCTGCCTCGGTCAAAAGCCCGCCACAAGGTCAAGTCTGATGGGACCCTAGAAAAGGCGACCAAAAAAATCAACTGGTTCTTCCTCCTAGGGAAAGGAAAATCCTGAAAATGAAATCAAGAAACGCAACCCTGTTAACAACCCACTTGGTGGGCAGGTTTACCTGCTCTTGATTCATCAGGCCTTTGAAAGGATTACGCCTCAAGCACATCACAAATGACTGCTGTATCCAGATTTTGACAGTGGATATTATCCGGGCATTGAGTCATGGATTAATTTGACTTGTCCTTTCCCAAGCCCAACCCCAAGACTACTACTAGCTGGAATTGGTCTTGTGTCAATCATAACTGAGTGCATTCTGACCTCTTCACGTTACCTGGGAAAACATAAGGCCAAAACAGCCAGGACTTCACACTGTGTTGAACTAAGTGATAGGATTATCCCATCACTGATGAAGACTTAGCTAGGTCTCATTGTTTTTTTTTTGTTTTTTTCTAAAATGTTTCGTGTGCACAAAAGATTTTTCGAACTTGTGTGTTATATTAAGAAAAATAGAAAAAAAAGCCAGCCCTGACAATGTCAGATTATCACTATACACAAATAGTAATCTCTGTGCTGTGTTCTTGACAGTGTTTGATATCCATAACGGATATAACGATGGATATCGGTGTCGGCTATCCAGGATACAGGATATACAAGGATCTAGTGGATTTTAAAAAATTTTGGATAATTTGTATGGATTTTTGGATTACTGAAGTTTGTTTTCCTCGAAAAAGAGAAGAATTAATGATGGATGCACTTTTAAGTGTCTAATCCCAGTGGTTTCTCAATCTTTTACTATTGAAGTGCTAAACATTGTTACATTATCGAAACATTTGTGGAAAAAAAAAATGTTTAAAATATGATACTTAACATTCAACTGCCACCCCCACTGTGCTATTACTGGACCGTAGTTTGGGAACCCTCTGCTTCATGCAAATCTTTTCATGTTTCCTCCCATCTTTGGGGTCATCTATGTCATGCTAAGATGGGTGTATGATTTGTGATGTACATTAATGTATGTAGCAACTGCCAGGTAACAGATTTATCTACGTCAACGAATAACCACATATTTAGTGCTCTCATGTATGCCTGACGGCTCTGCTACAATCAGATACAATTACTGATACAACTACAGATGCAACCAACGCCACCATCAGCTGAGAATATTTTACGCTCATCATAATGCAATCACAAATATTGTCCTACCAACGTATGGCCTGCAACATCATCATGCCAACTGTCACACCATCATGTCAACTGTCACATCATCATGTCAACTGTTACACCATCATGTCAACTGCCACACCATCATGTCAACTGTCACACCATCACAGAGACTAACTACCATGCCATCATAGAAGGTCATAAATGCAACATCTTTTGATCAAGGCCACCAAGATGGACACTGGTCAAGACTGTCTTATTGTGTCATTTATAGTTCTGTCATTTAAAGATAAAAATGAACCACTTTGTTTGTGTGTGTGTGTAAACAAGTGATCAAAATACAAAATAATATAGAAAGTAGTGTGAACAGATCTGTTAATGTTTTCATTATTTTATTTTTTTTAATTGCTTCTTATAGGACAAAATAAGATTTGGTTTTGGTTGGGATACAAGATCAGGTTGTTATTTGAAATGTGGCTCATTTGTGGGGCAAATTTTGAATATTAAAAAAAATATAGTTTCAAGTTTCAATGAATGATAAATATTGCAATAGGTACAGTCTCATATTTGAGTTTTGGCCCCTGGTAAGTCTGTGAGAGTTAATCTTGGGAGCCTCTGTTTTAAAGATGCAAAGTCATGTTTGCTCTTGGTTGGTTTTAATGTTTTAATCAAGGTGCTTCTGGGTTCTCATAGTCTTTCTAGATAACAGCAAAAATTCATATGCATTTGTCAGCTGACCTACCCTGTTCTTTCCAGCTCATCTGAAAGTGAAAGATGAATGCTGTCCTAGAATGTTGCTGGATGGATGTGCTGAATCCATGGAGAGGTCTTGGGTTAACTTACATTTGGGGAATCTCATGATGTATGGTGTCATTATTTGTTTGCATACATACTAAGGTCGACCTAATACGCAGTGCTCATAAGTACGAGGTTGTATGTCAGCCAGTCTCTAGTAATTTGCTCCATTAAAAAAAAGTGTGGAGAGGTTATTATAAGCCTCCAGCCAATATGTTTAAGAAAGCTATGGAACTAACAAAGGGTCACTGGTCAGAGATGTGTACTTTCAGACAATCATGCTGCTAGTGCTACCTGATTTGTAGGAGAGCCTTACCACTTTCTGATTGGTTGTCTCCTGAGCATCAAATCTTTTCGGCTGCAAAGATGTTTGAATATTTGAGCTTAACAGTGTTTCAAAGTGTGTGGTTTCTAGGCGTTAGTCATCTGCCTTGGTAGAATCATTTAAGATTTTTTTTTACATTTGAAATTACATTGTCTTTTATGAAAACATTGCAAATTATGGCTGTTGTATAATGTTTGGTATATTTTGTCAGGCTAGTGCTTAAAATAAAAAGATAGAGCTTGCTTGAAGATGTGCTTATTTAATTTGGCATATTTTATAGTTGAAGGGTTCTTTAATGAAGTATAAAAAAAACACTAGACTGTAAGTCTATGCTGTCTTGTCATTTTAATTATAGCCCAAGTCAGTGGTTCTCAACCTTCCTAATGCGTCGACCCTTCAATACCCTTTAATACATTTCCTCATGTTGTGGTGACCCCCCCACCCCCCAACCGTAAAATTATTTTTGTTGCTACTTCATAAATAAGTGTTTGCCGCTGGTCTTAGGCGACCCCTGTGTTTGGGTCGTTTGAACCCCTAAAGGGGTCGTGACCCACAGGTTGAGAACCGCTGGCCTAAGTAGACCTGCCAATTTAAAACAGAAGCATTTCTAATATTGTTAGGGTTTTGATACTATAAGGTTCTATAAGGTTGCTTTGGGGTTTTTGGGGGTTTTAATGCTGCTAAAAAGGTTACAACACTCTGTGCTAATGAAAAACTTCACAAGGTTACCCCGTAAAGACAGATTTTTTTTTTTTATTAATAGCTGGTAGTAAATAAAAGTATTCCATTTGAAAAATAGTTCATGGATGAGAAACTGGATTTTTGAAAATACCATTTTTAGGGCCCTTGCTGACCAAATATACAGATTGATGTTTCTTTTGTCCAAGTTACCAGTTTTACAGAGTTGTATAACTAGGGCAATAAAAAAAAATGTATTAAAAAGCTTAACATAATTTTTTTTTTTTAATTTTCTCATGTAAAAGATGTAGAACAGAAGCTAGATATTGGTAGTTTTAACTTAAATACTTTTTAAAAAAATTTGTATCAACAAGTAATTCATGAATTTGGACCAAGCCCAGAAACAAAACTTTATATTAAAGTTAAAGTCCTCTGCAATTCGAATTTGTGTTCCATCAAATTTATAGGCATTGTTTCATCATGATATCCAGTTTTCAGTTGTGATGAAATCGTACAGACTAATTGGACCAACTTCTACATTACATCGGTTGCATCCCAACTCCTGTTTTACAATGACAAATGTATACAATTATATGTTAGCTTATAATTAATTGTGACACCTAAGTACTTATATGCATCTACTTTCTCTACACTTTGATTTTTTAAGTAAACTTTAATTTACATATTCTCTAAATAAATCAACCATAGATTTTTTAATGTTTTTTTTTTTTTTTTTTTTACATTTTCCTAAAGCATAATAAAATAACATTTATAAATCAATGCTCCAGATTTTTCATATTTACCAACCATATTTAGGTGACATATTCTAGCATCAAACAACAAATTCCTTCACTCTTTCAAATGTCCTAGCTCTTGATAACCCCCCTTGAAAATATTGTTTGATATATTCAAATACATTTGTTTAGCCAAAATTTAATATTTAAAAAAAAAATTAAATCAAGTCCAACATTTATGTACACTAATGTGTTGATTTGTACTATTTATAGTTTGTTGTTAGTTTTATTTGTTCAAAAGGCTAATTCTTGTGTTGCATACATCAACAACACAGCCAGATCATTCAGTTATGTGATATTTTTGTAATTATTATTTTTTGTTGAATGTTTATAATTTCATAACTTCTCACAAAACATTTGTACATTTGACACTGCACAGATGTGTGTGTGTGTGTGTATGTGAGTGGAGGGGATGTAACTAGAGTAAATTTGCTCTAATGTGTCGCCTGCCGTCTGCGCCTGCCAACTGTATGTGCAGTAAATGCTGTGTTACTATAGTCTTAGCAAAGCCATCCCTGCTAACCAATTGAAAGGCTTTTTTAACAACATACAAAATTTGTTTACTATTTTTTTATGTTTCTTATTTAAAGTATTTAACTTAAAGTACTTAAATTGCGATTAACTTCAGCCTCCAATTTTGTTTAAACAAAATAGCTGAAAGATTTATATCATTGTTATTGCAAGGTAACAGCTTGGATAGTTGCATGCCTTCAGGTGATGAAGCAGTGTGCCACTTCTGTTTCTTCATTCATTAATGACTCCATACCTGCTTATCTTAAGCCTGTATCTCTTCTACTGTAATGAAATAGTACAATCTGTGAAATGGTAATAAAATTTTAAGAACCCAGCTCCATTTTTCTTTACTCAGATGCAGAGTTATGTTGTCTATGGATGAAATGTTGCAACTATTTTTTGGATTAAACTCTAATTTCAGCGCCATTCAGTGATCATTTAAAGAGTTGTTGTTTTTTTTAAATTAAAAACACCCTCATTGCCAGGTGAGACTACTTGAAAACTCTACTATAGTAAATAGAAGGAGAACAAGTAGATCTATTGTTTTCCAATTTTGTCGGGTTTTAAAGAGATTTTTTCATTTCTGAGTTCTCATTGTATTCAAAATTGGCGCAGTCAATGACGAAAGATGCACGGAGTGTACTTTTTAGATCTTTGTACAATTTGTTTTCAGGACAAAAAGAAAATATTTGACTTATAAAAAACCTTTTCAATTATGAAATAAGTTGATTGATTTTTTTTGGTAAAAATAACTAGAGTCTATGCAAATGCAACACACAAAAAAACAACAAAAAAAAAACACTTTTTCATTTCCAACTGAAATAAAAGATTACCCATTTTAGGCTTACCCAAGCAGAACTAAAAGTTTTAGACATTAAGTTTTTATAAGAAAATATTGCTTATTAAGTCTCTGCTCTTTAGAACCATGCACATATTATATAACGCGAGGGGGGTGGGGGTGGTTTTCATTTGTTATGTTGTCTCGCATATGGGTGGGGGTGGTCTAGAGCAATGTTAATAGAACAATATTCTTATTTTTTCAAAATTTCTGCTTTTCAGATGCACAAAATTAGTTTAGATTATTAAATACAAAATTGTATTTTTTGTCCAGTAATGAGCAATGAGCATATTTTTTTAAAAAAATAAATAAATCTGGCCGTCTGTTTCTTTGGTACCGGCATGTTATTATAGTCTTCATACAGATCTCCTCAAGTCTTGCAAGACTGTGGGTATGATAAACAATTGGTCTGCAGTAGCTGTTGTTTAACAAAATGCTTAAAATTACATTGTTGTAGTTCCAATGTCTTTTTGCTTTAAAAGGGGGTGGGGGGGGGTGCTAGACATGGTTTATAAAATTAGGGGGATAGGTAAAAATAAATTTCATTCTTTTGTGTATATAATAAGTGCATGGCCCCTATATGGTTAATTTAGTTACGGTGCATTAAAGATTGCAAATATAAAATGAAGAAACTTGCACCTAGGTCTATATGGTAAATTTATTTTTATTCAGATTTATCAGAAATTCTCCTGGTCCTGATGGAGTTAGATGAGATAAGGCACAAAGTCAAGACTCCATCTATGTCATAAAACTAATGGGAACAATTCATTTACGTTTGCTTGTACCAGTACTTGAACTTGCAAGCTGAATTATGAATGTTGATGATTTTTTTTCTCTGTGGTTTAACTGTTGAACTCATTTTCCTTGGGCCACCTGCAGCACAAAGGGGATCCCAATTTGAATGAGTGGCACAGGACCATAACTTCAGCCATCTGATTAAGTCACAAAGGGTTGCAACAGCCCCCACTGCATTGTCAAAGAGATTGTCATTCAAGTGACATTTCAAATGCATTGTATTATATTTATATATACCGTGCCAGGTTTGTTTGTTTAAGTTCACAATTCAAATTATAAAATTATTATCATGACAAAACACAACTTTTAGTGTGTTCACACAAAATTTTTAAAAATAAGGTAACACACTGCTTTGCACAAACAATGCACTATTTATGATAGCTACAAACAGTTAAGTTTGGTGGCAGCTGTAAACTTTCCTAACATCTCCTCATTTTTTATCCTGTAATATACTTGTAACTACTGTACATCTATCTATCCTAGGGATTCTCGACTTTTTCCCACATTATGCCAGGTGTTTGCCAGTTTGGCTCAAGCATAAAATTGTTTACAATTTATTGGTCACACTGTCTTCCTCTCTCAGAGAATTTGTAATGCTTAGGGTCCATTATTATGTTTTTTTAATGGATTGGTTTTCGTGTTACTTTTACATTAAATGAAACCCAAATGAAAATTCTAAATTCCTAATAGATCATATATACATTATCTTTATTATTTTTGTAATGTACATGAGCTGTATGCGTGGCGACATGGAATGGCTGTACAGGCTAACTAAATTGATTTTGTTTTTTTGTTTAATTGATCTCTAAAACAAATTCATTTGAGAATGCTTTAAAGACACACACGTAGATCAGTTGTGTTTGTACATAAATAATAAATAGATTTGTAATATGTTCAATCCTAGATCAGTATGTTTATTTTGGGTTCTCTTAATTTATTGTATTTTTATGTTGAATTTCATTTAATCTATTTTATTTTTCATGAAATGTGCGCATTTATGAATGTAATATTTTTATGGAAGATCCAATTAAAAAAGTTTTAAACAATAAATGAGTTCCTAATTTAAAATGTGAAAAATGTGTCATGAAAGTGAATGTGACATCATGAAATTGTATGTACCGTATAGGATCAATAATACACTGAAATCTTTCACAGCAATTTTCTTCCTATTTAATGGCCCAGATAAATTATAGCTAAAACTACTCAAGTTTTATTTCTAGACTAACCATGTTTTACTGTGTTGCTAAAAATGTGTCATTATTTTAAATGCATCTGTGTCATTCTAAGTGTTTGGACGAAAAAGTAATTATTACTATGAGTATGAAATTAGGTCCAAAACTATTTAATATCATTTGATATCATTTTCAGCAAAGTTTTTTAACAGCAACTTATGCCTAAGACTCATAAATTCTCTTAATTTTAATAGATGCATTCAAATTTCAATTATTCCTTAAAAAGAAATAGGAAGTAATTTTACTTTACAGACAATTAACTCAGTAAATACAAAACCATGCAAGACAAATATTTTAAATTGCCATTTTAATCATTGAATGGTATTGCACACAACCTGTCCACCAATCTTTTTAATTTTTACAAAAAATGCAGTGCACAACCAAATGTAATAATTGTAGCTTATTATAAAATTTCAATCTTAGTTAGCTGAGATCTTTATAAATTTACATTCTGAGGATTTCATTAACAGCCATTCATTAATGAATATTTCTGTCATTCCCCGAATCATGTAAAAAAAAAAAAAATTTGCATTTCAACATTATCAGACATGCACTGATACACAAAACAAAAAAAACATTACATGTTGGATGAGTTTTGGTCTTAAGAAAAAATCTGGCCACATATGCAAGCATAATTTTTATATGCTATTTTTATAAATTAAAAAAAGTTCATACCACAACTGTTTGAGTTTGAATCACTGAGCACTGCCCAGAGGCAATCTTCACGAACCATTGAATTAATCATTTATAATGCGCAGCGATAATATCCTCAAATAGGTGTACCACCTTGAGGAGGGACAAGTGTGTTCTTGTCTAGTATAAATAAGGCCATTTTTGATTGCCCTAAGGTTGTTATTACCTTTTTACATCAGGGAAAAATAAATGTTCATTGAAGTGCATGAAAAGCTATTTTTTTAAGCAATTTTACCTCTAGACATATACAGCATCAATAATATTCACATAAATATTTTAAATTACATAATAATTGTGAACGTAAAAATTCCAATTAAACATATAAACATAGATATCAGGTTTTTCAGCGTGGGTTGGTTTTCATGTGTGGAATAAAATTTAAATAAAAGCACCTCCACTTTGAGTTTACCTAAAGTTAAATGAAATTCAATCTTAGGCACCAATAATTGGACTCTCACACATACAACAGACACACTACTATTTTTTTAGGGCCCACTATGTATGAACGACAGATGTTCCTGAGAGAGGCCTTAAAAGTTGGTATGTTTTAAATTACCTCATTTGGATGGTTTTATAGAATAGAAGGTTCGTGATGGTTTTATTTTAATCAGGGGGCCGGTTCACTGTATCTCAGAGACTTGGTGGCCGGTCTGTTGTTTGTACAAATTATGAATAAATTTCTATGCACTGTTGACATATAGTATATGATATATGCACTCTGGACATAACTTTTATGTACACTGCACATATCTTATATGCACACTACACATATAAGTATATAGGGTACCAGTATATAGTGTGTATTATTTGTGGTGGGAAAAAAAACTTTGGAGAAATAAAATGAAAAACAATTTAATCAACATAAAGTTATTAGTATTTCGAAATGGGAAGTATGGACCTGCATTTGGCTAAATAAGTGGTCAATGTCCGGTTCCCAGTCTGTCACTGCTAATTATACCATCACCCATGCAATAGGCCTAGCGGGAATCGAATTCGGACAGTGGACCGTAGTTTAGGATTTAGTATCGCAATTTCTAATAAAACCAACGCCAACGCCTAACTTTAGGATTAGTAAGAAATACTGTTACTTGTATCAGTGCAATACTATCAATACTCAATAGTCAATAGTTTAGACTTAGTCTAAGTATAACTATTCAGACTATTCTAATCATAGTACTTCCTTAGCTAGTGTTACACTTCGTATATAAATATGGATGTTCAACTGTTCTAATTATAATCCTTAGTTACACTTAGTGTAAGTATGGATGTTCAACTGTTCTAATTATAATCCTTAGTACTAGTCATTATTGTCGTAGCTTAGTACCTCTGCTTAGCATAGCACACACTCACAGATAAAACAAACGGTAAACAAAATGGAGGCATTGACCTATGACTTATGAACTCGGATTCGCTTTTCTCTATAATCCGATAGAGGGACAAAATAAAAGCATCAGGAGCGTTTTAAAACATCCCCCCCCCCACCCCCTCCATTCTGAAACCTATTTTGTCATCTGTACAATACATTTAAGGCAATTTGGGCGCCTCAAATGGTCTGATGCCCGGCGAATCTGTACATCTCTGCACCCCATAAGATACGCTTCTGTCAAGCATCCATCAATGTTACATTTACATAATCTTAATTAGTAATGTGTCAATAGGGCAGAGTTTTTGAATGCTCGTAGTATTTGTAGTTGTAGTAATCAACAGACAGTGACAAAATGTAACAGGATATTGGATACGATGTTGTTACATTCTTTATCAAAGGTAGTGTCCAGGTATCAAATGACGTAATTAAAATCAATATTTTCTTATTTCAATATATATATATATATATATATATATATATATATATATATATATATATCATACATAAATATAAATTTTCATAAATAACCAAATTACAGATATTATATTTACATTATACAAACTAAAAAATATCAAGCAGTATTATGGACGACTGGATGAACAATTTTTTTTTTTTTTAAAGTTTTTGGTATTTACATTATATTTAAACAGCGAATACAAATAAAATAATATCTTGGGGGAAATGTGGAGATTTGATGCCATTAGTTTACTGGAAATAACCCGTGGAAAACCACAGTGGCATGGTACCACTGAAGGCTCCTCTCCCCCTCCCGGCCCAGACCGTTCTTTCGCTCGGGAGCCTTCAGCGCCCTAGCTTTCTCATTTTGTTTCTCCCTTACCGGATCTTCGGCGACGTCCTGGGGCGCACAATCCACCGAAAAAGATTGTTGATCGTTACCAGCCTCAGCGCTATTACTTACATTTCTTAAAGAAAATCATTTCTATTTCTTAATGTTTGCACTTGTGGATATGACGACAATAATAATGTCATGTTTCCACTGACGCCGTTTGTCTTTTACTGAATGTACGCACTTGTGACGTGGGGAAAAAAGGCGGGATTCCCCCATTGGCGCTGAGCGTTCCAGACATCCAGGAAAGAAAAGAAAGAAAGGCGAATCTGGGCTTTTTTGTATAAAAATAGATATACTGGTCATGTGAGTTATTTAAAATTTCAGCAGTGTGACCATGGAAACGGGGATTGTGTAGGACCAGCGGTCATGAATCTGTCATGGAAGACGTCGATACCATATTCAAGTGTGCTGATCAGACTGATCCAATTATACCAGATATACAAGAACAAAAGGACAAGTGTGCCTATCATAAAACTAAGTTAGATCAGAAATTTAGCACAAGTACGATATTATAATCATAAAAGAAAATTGTGTTTGACAAAATAATGGAATACAAGTTGTTTTTGTTAATTAAATTTGGTATGACTTTCATAAGGTTGAGTAACACAATTTCATTTTTTTTTAAATACTTTCAGATATTTGCTTCTAAACTGATAAGTTCAAATGGGTTCAAGTTCTCACTAAAAAAAAATATTTATATATATACTGGATATATATAAATATGTCGGCACACACATGCCTTGTATACATTATAAATAATAAATTGGATTTTATCTTTTCCGAAAGTAATTTAAAAATCAAAATCTTGACATATAACATAAATCAAACGAAAATATTTGGAAATGGTTTGAGCCGAATTATTGTGATCCGTTTGAGCAAAGCAGTTCTTTGACGTCATACCATCTGCATGGTTTGAAAGGTTGATGGAAATACTCAGATACGAAACTTGATTGTTACAAGATGGGATATACCAAGTAGCTAATAAAATATTTTGAATAGTTTGTGATATGCATTCATTCAAAGGCGTACAAAAGGGCATTCAATGGCAAAGATGTCTCATGCAAAGGCAAACATCTTTTATAGACACCAGTGCCTAACCCGGATCGGGGAGTTACCGCTGGTTGGGGAGTGACAAACCAGAGCTAACAATGAAAGACGTTTAGTTCAACTTGAAATTCTGATCCATTCATCGCGTGATCTGTGATCGGACATCTGATCCATTCATTGGTTGATCTGTGATCTGAAATGATTAACACCGACCAACAGCATCAGCCACAAGTGCTAGCATCTTCTTACATTTCAGCTACAGTGCTCAGAAATCCTGCACACCTTCCTATTAGTGAAAATTTAGAAAAAAATTAAAATCCAATTTGAATGCCAGAAATACACTGTCATTGTTGAAGTCACAGAATCACCAATGTACTTGAGCATGCAGGCGTGCATAGTTTGATCAGTGCATAGTTTGGTCATGATAAGGCTACACTGCTCAAGGAAAAAATATGTGTTCTCATGACTTACTAACTCAAGGGTAAGAATTCTTGTGTTGGGATGCAGCAATGTCAGTGGAAGACTTTGGGTCACTGCCGTATGCATAGTTTGTTTGCTTTTTTCTATTAACGTGGACTTGGTGACTTGGTGGGACTTCATCCAAAGGAAGTGCTTTAAAATGAACTGTGTTTCAAATACTGATGGCAGTTTACTGCTGCTAAGCAACACAATGTGTCCATAGCTGCGATACATTGTGTCCATAGCCGTGGTGTAAGACACGGACAGCTGTCTTGTAAGACACTATTAGTTGTTTTACTGCATGTTTAGGACAAATATTTACAGTTAACAGCTCAATCCGAAATGCCACACCAATGTTTTCAAATTTTTTGTTTGTTCATTGGGCAATTAAATTTTCTTTTTAGATGTAATGCTGAGAGCAGCCCTAATGATCAAAATAGAGCAATAAAAAAATCTTTACGACGTTCAATTTATCTTCCCAAGAATGTGCTGAGTGGAGAGCTTGGCAGATTCTAAAATCTTGAGCGCCTCCTCGTATGAAGGCGGCGGTCCCTCGTTTTCGTTCTCCTGTTGACCCCTGAAAGAAGAAAATATGTCCTGGATGGAGATGTGCATCCCTGGGAATCGCCGCAGAACTTGCTGGATGGCGGAGCTGCCCGACGACGTGCTGGACACGCTGGACACTTGGACCTGGTGCCTGCCGGCTGCGGGGGATTGATACGGCGGGGGCGGCGCTGTGGGGGTCAGAGGGGGCGGGGGAGCATCCCGCGTCGATTCCGCAGAGGATGAAGATGAGTTCGGGGGTATGCCGGGTGGTGTGGTCGAGTGACCGGGGTCCACCGCATCAACAACATCAACATGGATGGAGATGTGCATCCCTGGGAATCGCCGCAGAACTTGCTGGATGGCGGAGCTGCCCGACGACGTGCTGGCCACGCTGGACACTTGGACCTGGTGCCTGCCGGCGGCGGGGGATTGATACGGCGGGGGCGGCGCTGTGGGGGTCAGAGGGGGCGGGGGAGCATCCCGAGTCGATTCCGCAGAGGATGAAGATGAGTTCGGGGATATGCCGGGTGGTGTGGTCGAGTGACCGGGGTCAACCGCATCAACAACATCAACAGTGACTAACGTGTCCATGCTTCGGCTCAACGATCTCGCTCTATCCAAGGAAGAAAATGGCGCCGAAAGCGGATAGTCGAATACCTGTGAGCCCGAAATGGTTGAAACGGAAGTGCTGGAGAAACCCTGATTGACGTAGCCGCCGTCGGGGGGCACCTCCGGGAGGCTTACGCTCCCATTGGAGGTTTGACCGCTGGGCGGCGCCGGAAGCTGTAAATGCAAGTCTCGGTCTCTTGCAGCGTCCCGCCCGTGCCGGTGCGGTCCCGGCTGGTCTGTTTCGATGAGAACGTCCAAACTGCCCTCCCGAGAATGCGCCGCTTCCCCGGACGCCGGGTGGGCGGTGGCGCCGAACAGCTGCTCGTACGTCGGGGGAGGATCGTCTGCCGGCTGCTCCCCGGCCTCCGCGTCGGCAGCCGCCCGGGCGGCCCTCGCCCTCTCGCGCTCCTCCCGCTTGGACCTCCTGAGCTGGATGATGAGGACGCAGATGAGAGGCACGATGACCGAGAGGCCGGCGGCCATGGCGATAAACCCGCCATTAACCTTCAGGGAGTGGTCCTCGACGGTCTGCGGGTTCGTGGTATCTGTGGGAGAAAGGTAAAACAGACAGGTGAGTGGCGGAAAAGGCAAAACACACAGATGAGTGATGGCAAAGGTAAAACACGAGGGTGGGTGAGTGACGGCAATGGTAAAACACACAGGTGAGTGATGGCAACGATAAAACACACAGGTGATTGACGGCAAAGGTAAAACACACAGGTAAGTGATGCAAAGGTAAAACTCACGGGCGAGTGACGACAAAGATGAAAAACTCAAGTGAGTGAAGGCAAAGGTAAAAAATTATTGGTTGGTTCCCTTAGGAGAGTATTCTCTCTGCACGACTGCCAACTTTATGGGAAATGCTTTGTTTGAAGTGTAGATAAATGGGTGGAAAGTCACGTGATAGAAGATGACGTCATACGAAACTTGTAGAGTGGATTGCCTTTTGCATTTAGCGACAGGTACAGTGCATTACCTTTAACCGACTAGGTCAATGTATATTACAGTTTGCAAAAAGTGACCGCGACAGTGCCTTACAGTATGTATTTAGTGACAGTGACAGTGCATGACAGTGTGTATTGAGTGACTGCGACATTGCATGAAAGTGTGTCTAGGGCAAAGCATTACCTTTAACCCGCGTTTGGTATTGCGACACATCCGGCGCTTCAAACAAGTGCGCCACACTTTGCCAAAACCCCATCCTGTGTCGCTTGTGACAGTGTGTCAACGAATTCGGCAACGCACAACTGTTTCCACTTTGTACACAAGGATGACTAAGATCACATTTATTTCTTAAGTTTGCTTGTTTACACAACAGTCATTGGCACAACATGCGCATTTAAATAGTCAAAAACAAAAGAAGATCCGATCAATTGGTTTCATGTTATCACGGCGTTCTGTAGATTATTTACGCGGTACGGAATTTCTCCAGACCACGGCCGATGGTCTCGTATTCAGGAAAACGGTGAACGCGCAGTGACAACTAAATAATGGCGGTGAACTGTCACTGAACATAAATAGTGTTCGTTATAAATACACAAATGCGCGTGCACAAATGAGCGGAAAGTACAGTATCCATTTAATCAGAGACTTTCCGCGTCTCTTTGAAAGTAAATCGCCTATTTATAAAACCAAAAAAAAAAAAAAGACTGAAACAGCATCATAACAGCACAATGTTTAAGGGAGAAGGTTATTGTTGTTGTTTTTTTAAAAAGTGTTCGTTATAAATACACAAATGCGCGTGCAAAAAAGAGCGGAAAGTACAGTATCCATTTAATCAGAGACTTTCCGCGTCTCTTTGAAAGTAAATCGCCTATTTATAAAACCAAAAAAAAAAAAAAAGACTGAAACAGCATCATAACAGCACAATGTTTAAGGGAGAAGGTTATTGTTGTTGTTTTTTAAAAAAACAGGCTACTCTGTTAACAGAACATTCCAGGTGTTTGAAACTTGTTCGTCATCACCTCCACCTGGTGGCAGTTCAGGGGTGGCGGCCAGGGATCCAGGGGGTTTGGGATCGTATTCATGCGGGCATCCGGCCAGCACTCACAGCTGCTGGTTGGGCCAGTTTGTGGGCAATGCCGCTATGCCAATATGCAAGCAGTTAGTAGGCATTGCCGTTATGTTAATATGTCAGCTTGGATCTCATCTCCATTTAGTAGATCTTATTGATTTACAATGTGTCGACAGGGGCGGAGCCAGCTTGTTTGGTTGGTAGTCTTGGATGTTTTTCGTGTTTACATGTTTATTAGTGTGCGTGTGTGTAGTGGGAGGAAACAAAAACAGGAAACACAACAAAAAAAAAGGGGGGGTGGGGGGTTACTCATAGTACAACTTTTTTTTTTTTAACTACCAAGATCTCATGTAACTGGTTTTTCAAGAAAAGGCCACATAAAAGATTTTTTTTTTATGGGGGGAGGGGCGGCCCCCGATAATTATGTATTTATTTCTATAATCAAGGAAGGATTTTTGCATACATTTCACAGAGAAATGGGAAATGAAACAAATAAGTTTTGGAAAAGGTAAATGAAATATGTTACTACAAGTTAATATTGACCAGAGTCCAAGCTTGTGGGGACACCTCGGAGCCTTTCTACAGCTGTAATATCAAACTATAAGATGTTACAGATTGCCGTAGGGTCTTTTATAGTTATGTGCAAACTGTAATGAGGTCAAGAAATGTTCATATGCTTATACCATAGACCTGTCACTCATTTGTGGGAAAGGTGAGCGGGGAAAGGTGAGTGGGATAGGTGAATGGGGAAAGGTGAGCAGGGAAAGGTGTGTGGGGAAAGGTGAGTGGGGAACGGTGTGTGTTGGGAACGGTGTGTGGGGAACGGTGAGTGGGGAAAGGTGAGCGGGGAAAGGTGAGCGGGGAAAGGTGAGCGGGGAAAGGTGAATGGGGAAAGGTGAATGGGGAAAGACGAGTGGGGAAATGTGTGTGGCAGAAGGAGCACGGCTTTATTTAATGCATTTTAACCAATTCTGCCGGCGTCATCGCCAATACTTACTGGTACAGTTACAAACAGTGCATGGCTGAGTGGTCAAGTTTGTCGTCTGCTCCAGTGCTATGGTCACGTTGAGCGCCGCCGAAACAACCGTGCTTATATCCATTGGGAAGGTGAGAAAATCCAATATAAACTGCACTTAGCTATCACAGTACTTTCAATGTCCGCTAAACACAGTGCACGGGGTGCTTTTCAAAGCACACTTATAACGACATTCACAAGTCTCCTGACGGTAAGGAAAGTTAACTCCATTGTATTTTCAATGTTTTCTTAGGCTCGATTGCCTCCCTTTTTCAAATGAAACAAAAAAAAAAAAAATAAATAAATAAATAAATAATAACAGAACCTACAGCTTTAGAAAACGTCGATGAGAGTGACATTTCTTTAACCACGGTCACTTTTGGGGACAGTTACTCACAAACTCACAACCTGATGTCACACTGATTAATTTACACGTCAACACATTAATGGATAGTTATTTTGTTTGTTCTTTTATAGAGAAAAATACTCAGCAGTGTTTCAGCATCACAACCAAAACACAGATGAAATGACATGAATGTGCTGTCCGTCTATAACCAAAACATAAGTCATTTACACACGATGAACACACACACAAGCCCACAGAGAGTTGGATCATGGCCTGAAATCAGTTGACACAGCCTAAAAGCCCATCGATGGCTTCATAAGAGCATCGGTCTGTTTAAACAACAGGTCATCAAAACATGTGTAGCAAATCAAAAACACGGAGGGGGTTTTATATTCAAGCCGACCGTGCAACCAAAAAAAAAAAAACAAAAAAAAACAACCAACTATTTTATCTTATTTGTTTGGATCTAGCTATCTATCAGCAAGTCTGACGTGAGTGTTACATAGTGGCAAAGGTGTAAAAATAACATTTAGGTAAATAAGATACAAGTCAAGGTCGCGCCAGAAATCCCCCCTCCCCCACCCACAAAAAACCTATTTACTATAAATAGAAAAGGTGACGCGGCCATGTTGGAAGCTATATTTAGATCAAGTTTTACAACCGCAGTGATTGCGCCTGATATCGTGAACAATTGGGTGCGGGGGGGAGAACCACAAATCATGATGTCAGCACTTTTTTTTTTGTTTGTTTGTAATTTCCGGTATTTTAATGATGACGCATTATCTCTTGTGACCTACATACGTGACTGTGAACTTGTAGGTTCTGAAGTCATTTTGTTCACCAATATTTTAGCTTTAAGACACACTGAAACGGCAGCCCGGGAAGACGCGCGCGTGCACAGGCAGACGTGATCAGCTTTAAAAAAAAAATGGTATCAGTTAATAAACACAATTTCACAGCTGGATACCTTAGCCAGTCTCAGTTTTATTTTCCGTTGTGTGTGTGTGTTTTGGGTGGGGGTCGGGGCAACGGCACTAAAAAATTGTATTTAACTATTTACCCCCCCCCCCCTTTTTTGGTAGTATTTAATGAATGTTTTAGTGCCCCAAGAGAGACCTGCTGTCGTTAAGACACACGAGATATTCACCCACCCCCACCGACCCCACAATTCGACACCATGAAAATACATCTCAATGTAGTTAAAGAAGTATGATGCCAGAAGGGTTGACGGGGGTGGAAGGGGGTTGACTCTGGTTGGGGTTGTTTGTTTTTTTGGCTGAAACTCCTTTAAATACTAGCAAAAATTGTAAGCGACAAATTCAAAATCGAAGTATTTTTTTAATGACTGCTAATCTACTTAGACTAAGCCTCACCAATACAATTCATGCTGAACTGATCTCTCTCGGGTCAGCCTACTCTCAAACAAACAGGGCGGGCCACCTAACACCGGAACACTTTACTTCAGCTCTACTTGAGCTCTACTTCACACAACCATCAATGTCATCGGGCGATCACGTGACCTCACACTCACTATTACACGGGTTGTTATGTATGAGCTCAAAGAGATCAATATTAAAAATCAATATGTAATCAATATATAATCGATGAGTTCTTGAATGTTCAAAATTGATTTACTCCACATTTGTGTGATCAATTTTTTGTGTGTTAAACTTCACTAAGTTCTATATCTTTGTGGACGACAAGGCTGGCGGCCAAATGTCCCAGCGGCGGCCAAGTGGCGTCGGCGAAACGGCGGCCTCGAATGTCTCCCCCCCCCACCCCCATTACAGACAGTTATATCACATCCTGGATTTCCTTGCATGTCATTTAAAACGTCCTTTTGTCAGAAATCCTGGATCCCCCAAACCTGTTATCAGACAGGACGTAACGCTCGTAGGAATCTCCCGGACGTTTAAAATGATACACGGGCAGGGGCGGGTCAAAGGGTGAAAATGTTTGAAGAGGTCGTGGAAAAACTCAGCTAATGGACTCACCCTATGAGGGGGGGGGGTCCAGATTTGCAGAACGCTAAAATGTCCGGAACACGGAAACGGGTGAAATAAAATGTCCGACACAAAGAGGATAATCACACGTGTCATTTAATACCGACACAAAGAGGATAATGACACGTGTCATTTAATACCGACACAAAGAGGATAATGACAAGTATCA